GACAATCCCAACGCCTGCTATCATCACCTGTAGAGATAAAAAGAAACTAAGAAGTTAGCACAAGTTTCCAATCTGGAAAAAATCAGCTCACAAAGAAACTGGGATTCCCATAAACTCAAAGCACTCACCTGTTGAAAGGCCGAGAGTGAGCAGCTTTTATATCATTTCCACAGTAAGGCAGCCACAGAAACCCTGAAACAATAATGAAAAGTTGAAATACACGTTGAAGTAGTCTTTTTATTAAAATAGGGTACATGCACAAAGTAGTGGTAACACTGATTGGGGTCTAATGGAGTTTTGTAGAACATAATGAATTTTCACTCTGGACAGAGATAATTGTCTGTTGATCATTTGCTACACAGTGCTAACAATGTACATGGCAGATAATAGATTATTAGATATGTACAGTTACACATTCTACCCTCTACGCGATCCACCACACAAATCACCCACGACTCACTCCACGCAGGGTTGACAGCGTAATCAGTAGAGCAACAGCAGATCCAACTTGGGGATCATGCGTGGGTGCTTGGCCGAGGTCAAAAACTGTTCTCTTCGCCTCATGTGGTCCCCAAATTCCTTTTACTTGGGCTAATGCTCACTGGAGTTTATGGTTTGAACATACCAGATAGTACTATTCTTTCTATTCCTCCCAAGCTTTCTCATATGGACATGTTGAAATCTGATTTTTATACATCTTTCAACTGGACATGTATCATTTCCCTTTTGCCAGCGTTTTATTCCTACAAGGAGACAGAGATGTATAACGTGAATGTTATTCTGGACAAATAATGTTTACAAACAATGAATAAACTTCAATGTACTGAATCAGTAGCGAATGAGCACCCTGAGATCCTAAAAGCTTTCTTAAAAACTATTCCCACCAAAATAAAGCCCACTAAATGCCCAGTAAGAGAAAAAAAAAAATGAGGCAAGAAAAGCGAAAAAAGAGGGGGAGGAGAAAGCGATAAATTTTGCTTTCTGCGCGACGCCCGAACCGCAAGCTGATATTTTGCATCTGGATCAGAAGGCCATCAAGTGTACGACCTGTAAACCGGTTTGTGGTAAGTTTTAGCTCTTTACAGCACGACAGTGACCAGAAAAACTCTCGACTAGCTTTAAAACGCGTTTTTCGGCAAAATCTCCAGGAGCGAATGGGTTAAGCAAAGTACCAAGCTTTTTGAAAAAAATCCACTTTTCAGGATAAAACAACCAAATCTGTCTATTTCATGTCAAATCAGGGAAAAAGTTGGTAAAAGGCCATTTTTAGGTTTTTTGATTAACCCATTCGCCCCTGAACCGCCCGTAACCGCCCGTGTGGATCCACGTCCTTTCTACCCTTTGTGACGTCATCAGTTTTAACGGTCAAGGACAACTTTGTCTGCTAACTTGTGCAGAGTGAAGAGATCTTTCAAACCATACCAGAATGAGCACAATTCAGTCAAGGATACCGGAGAAAGAGGCAAAAAACCATGTAACATTGACCTGAAAATCTCCATGAAAATCTTGTTCCATTGCCCACCTACCTTTCCTTTCACCTAATCTTAAGATCCTAAAAGCTTTCTTAAAAACTATTCCCACCAAAATAAAGCCTAGTAAATGCCCAGTAAGAGAAAAAAAAATGAAGCAAGAAAAGCGAAAAAAGAGGGGAGGAGAGAAGGCGAATAGTAAAAGTCAAGACTGCTGTGTCACTTTTAAACCCAAAAATTGTCGAAATTTTGCTTTCTGCGCATGCCCGAACTTCGCAAGCTGATATTTTGCATCTGGATCAGAAGGCCATCAAGTGTACGACCTGTAAACCGGGTTGTGGTAAGTTTTAGCTCTTTATAGCACGACAGTGACCAGAAAACCACTCGACTAGCTTTAAAACGCGTTTTTCGGCAAAATCGGCATGCCCGAACTTCGGAAGCTGATATTTTGCATCTGGATCAGAAGGCCATCAAGTGTACGACCTGTAAACCGGGTTGTGGTAATTTTTTGCTCTTTATAGCACGACAGTGACCAGAAAACCACTCGACTAGCTTTAAAACGCGTTTTTCGGCAAAATCTCCAGGAGTGAATGGGTTAATAAATAACAGCTCTGTTGAGAAAGCTGTCAGTTATTTACTGTTACCAGTGTTTCAAAACAAGCATTATAATTTGTTTGCATTGATCAACTTTTATCTATGGACAACTAAATGCTTTTTTCAAACGTATTTAGATCAATTTAGGTTTTTGGGAAACTGCCCACCTACCCCTCCCTGGAGCCAACATTTTGGCTTAAGAAAGAAGTAAGTGATAATGATGGCTTTGGGGAGGGGTAGGTGGGCTCCCAGAAACCTAAAATTGATCCTATTACCTAGTATTCTTTAATACAATTGTCATCGGCTGATGAATAAACTTCCAGTTATCTAGCTGTTACTTTATTACACATTATTTTGATTCACCGTAATTTGGTTGTGTTCACTTTGAAGCCTTTTTGTAACATGTTCTAACTGAAATGAAGTAATGAAAGTTCACCTGGTGTTTAGATTCAATAAAACTGGTTCTTATGAAAATGGCATTATTCATGTAGTCAGTAGTGTATGGTATCGCCTCTATATATGGTTCATTATTAGCTAAGAAAGTCCTTGAGTTTATTAGACACCTTATCTCAGAAAAATTACCTTTGGCAGACAATAATACAGTGCAACAATATTTTTGACACAAATATACTTTCCAGAGGGTACCAAACCAAGTTGAAATTACAGAAATTCCAGGGGCTGGGGGGTTATGACAAGCACCCCCTTCAGTGTATAATGGAAATTCCAGGGGGGTGGGGGTGGGGGGGGGGGTCTAAGGTAAAGGTGCCCTTCATGGGGGGTATGGATATTTTCTGGAACTACACAGTAATAGATATGCTTCTTGCAAGGTTCCTAGTAGCTAATTTTTAATCTCTCAGGTAATTTTTATTTGTCCTTCTTGTTTCAACTTTATTAGCAAACATTGTCATACCCAAAAACAAAAGGAAAACAAAAATTACCTGAGATAAAAAATTAACTACAACATACACATAAATACAAAAATTGGTCTAATTAACTGTTTATCACACAGTGAATGGTTTTACATTTGCATCATGCATTCTGCTTGGTATCAAGGTATCAACAGCAAATTTGTTTTCCAGATAACATTATCTTGTAGCAGTATCCAGGGTCCGAAAATTATGCCTTCTGGTTGCCAATGCGACTAAAAATTCAGTACTGGCGACCAGAATTTCATAGCTGGTCACCAGCTGGAGACTTGTCTTGTGGACTTTCACATTTGAAGAAAATGATAAACATTTGAAACCACGAAGATATTTGCCAACAGGTGTCTTACATGTACTTTTTGTCCCGCTGATATTTTTTAATTCAAGGTGAAACGAATCTTCCTGTAAAAATACCTCCACAACAGCTATTATCAATACAAGTTGAATGTTTCCAAGTTGCCATGGTGCTTTCAGCTGAAATACCCTAAGTAGGTTACCGTACCCATTTTTCCACAGTTATGGCCTGGTACGAGCAACACGGCGGGTTGACTCATGTTTATGTTTCGTGTTTCATGGTAATTATCGAAAGAAAATGGAGTTTTGATATGTTCAGTGCAGTCATGGGCAGATAGCTTTCTATTCCTACTTCCTAGGTCAGACAGCTTTATATCTCTGAAAAGTAATTTGTGGAAAAAAAAAAAGAAGACTTCACTCGTACACGTACGGTTGCTTTCTGGTATCGGGAGCAGAAGTACATACCATGCATTTTTTATTTGTGTTTAAACTTTTATTTGAAAAAAGGGGAGGGGAAATTTTTGGCCACCATTATTTTCCCTCTGGTGACCAAAAATTTATACTTGATCGCCAGTTGGCGTCTGTATTTAAAAAGTTAATTTCGGACCCTGGTATCTTGATATGCTACCTACCAGTTCTGCTGATTAAGGCAAACGTTTGGTTCAGGTTTGCATGCTGGTGGCCTCTGAGGGTTACAATGCACGCTTCATGTTCAATTTGCCACACACAGACACTTTTCTGGAAAAATAAACGTATTTCATTATTATCAGACCATAACTTTTACCTAGTATCAAGCCCTAGGATCTAACGGTAAAAACCGTTTCCAGTACCATGTCATTACTATGATCTTAATTATTACAATGGAACCAAAAAATCAAAAAGTTTTCCAGTGACATTTCCAGACTAAGAAATCAAAATACATAAATATAGTATTTTCCCACTCACATTCTTCACTGGTAGAACAATTCTTAAGACTCACCTTATATAAGAAATTTTTAAAAATGCCTCAGGAAACCCATAATATTCCACACAAAAAAAGGCATATTTCTGCATAATTATTTTTAAAATTTCACAAAGAATGTAATTTTGCCAGGAAAGATGTCTACTTTGTGTGATATATAATACCGTATTTATTCGACTATAAGTTTATCTCAGCTATAAGCGAGACCCCAAACTTTGAACGTGTAGACTGCATAACGAGAACCAAAAAATAAATCGAAAACACCCGGCTATAAGCCGAGACCCATTCATTATTACAAGACTGAATTGTTAACTATGGGAAAACCTTACATTTTTAGGAAAAAAATCACATTGATTGTCATAAACGAGGCTTAGACGATAACACACACGCTGCGTATACAAGAGATGCAATGGTGATTTATTATACAAAAGCTTCCCTCTTAGAAAACACATGCAATTAATAAATATTACCCGTAACTAACTATTCAATTGAAAAGCAATGAATCATAACTCAGATGAATTAATGTGATCCAAAAATGAATTAAAACTGTGTTGTTAAGCGGCATCACCAGTACCTAGACATCCGTGGCCCTATCAAACAAGCTCGTGTTTGCAATCATTTATTTCAAGTCAAGTTGTCATCATGCCCAAGGCTCGTCACACGTCGCACAACCTCGTGCTTAAACTTAATATAGTCCCCGAAGCAGAAGCTGTTGAAAATAACTCTGAAATCGCCAGAGAATATGGCATCAGTGAGTCCATGGTCCATTGCTGGAGGAAAGATCAAGCGAACCTTTTTAACGGAGAGATTAAATTGTCAGCGAAACAGAAGACGATGGGATGCTTCACGCCGAAGTATCTGGAGCTCGATCAAAGAATACTGGAATGGTTTACAGAGCAGAGAAGCCAAGGTAAGTTTTTTGTCGAGCATTGATTTTGTATTTTAAAACAACAGAAACAAGATCACGAAATAAATCAATCAGCTGATTGCAGAGTGAATATGAGTTGAATATATGGGCGCGATCTATTCAACCAAAATTCCAACCGGTCCGACCGGGAAAATTGGTCCACCTCAAAAGGTGGACCCGTTTTTTCGAAACTTTTCCGGTTGAACCGAACCGATCCATTGAGTTTTGGACTGAAATTTCCGGAAATTTTGGTTGAATGGATCGCGCCCTATGACTCTCAAAACTATCGTAGTATCATGTGACAACATTGTGTATGAAATATTCTCATTGGCCAGTTTTCACAAATGTCAAAACAAATTTAAGACATGTCAAATTTTTAACCTTTCGATCGTTTGGTAACCTTCTCACTTCGTTTTGCATAGGAATAGCTGTTAGTGGACTGATGGTACGTCTAAAGGCAAAGGAATTCAGCGAGGATCCCGAGTTTAAAGCGCCCCTTGGCTGGTACCAGAAATGGAAGCGCCGCCATTCCATCAGCCTTCACACCAAAACAACACTCGCTCAGCGTCTCCCAGAAGATTTGGAGTAGCCTGCGTGGCAGGCATTTGAAAGGGAAGGAAAGGGGTTTTATGCGCGGGAGAAATGCGAGGGACCACTCGCGTTTCTCTCGCACCTAAAACTCCCTTTCCTTCCTTTTTCAAACGCCTGCCACGCAGGCTAGATTTGGAGCAGCAAACAGTCAAGTTCCATCAATTTGTAATCACATCCCGTCAGCGTCACGGTTATTCCCTATCAAGAATCTTTATCTTTTCTGTGAAAACACATTAAATTTAACAAAACGGCTCCTTTACGAGCCACCACATTCTTAAAAAGTTAATAACCAACGATTGCACATAGTGTTTCTTCACTTTAGCTCAGCTTATACGTAAATACATCTCGATTTAGTAGAGTTTCCATGCGCTGAAAAATTTTTTTTTTTCAAAACTTTCGGCTATAAGCTGAGACCCCCTCTAGAGCCCAAATTTTAATTCACTTCAGTTTTAATTTGTGTAAAAATCGCCGCTTATAGTCGAATAAATACAGTATCTACGCAAAACAGACCCGAAAATAGTTCGAAAATATGGAGTGACTAGGAATTTTAGACAGTTCACAGTCCCCTATATTTTCATGAGATCATCAAGATATATAGTCTGCTACACAGCCGTTTTAGTGTCGTCACGAAACGCTCCTCCCCACTGACGGCTGCTGAAAACGGAACAACATTCCTTTCCCCACGATTAGCCAGTTAGAATTCAGCTCCCATTTTCTGGAAGGTGTTCGTGCCACGTTTGAGGTATGGTGACTCCTCCAATCACAGCTTTGCTTTTATCGTTGCCCCATGTGTGAATGACAGAACAATCAAACTCGTCGCATGAAAACAAGCAATCAACTAGAGTAGTGTTGTCGTAGTCCAGTCCTTTCAAAATTTTTGAGATAAGTAGCAACAGCAAGCAAGTGGAGCAAATATGATGCACAACATGGATGTGCTTATAAAGTTGCCGCGTATAGTTTTGGGAAATCGCTTATCAATAATTTATAAGATTGCTTTTGTTTGAATCAGTACCCCTGGGAGTTTAGTCTACACAGTCTTAGCTTCACATGTACAATAACACAATGAGCACATCCGGCACATGAAATTCATCATACATATGTACGTTAAAAAGAACCAACCGATCCTGGTAAGAGTCTTGCAGGCCTATCAAACCCTTTTTTTCACTTGGAATTTTGTTAACCGCTTAAAACAAACTTTTCTGCAAACAACCTTTTCGTTGCTTGCAGACACAGAGCCCATCAAAATTCAGCGACGATTGATTGATTTGTCAAAAACTGAGAAGCGTGTTCGCTCCTAGCGCCCTGCGGCTCACGTATTGTCAAGTTTCTTATACATGATTGGTTTCTTCATTAGACCACAAACACAAAGGGAAAGGAAGGTGGTTCGGTTTTCAGCAGCCGTTAGTGGGAAGGAGCATTGCGTGACGACACTAAAAACGGCTGTGTAGCAGACTACAAGATATAGTGCATCTTACCATTAATGGTGGCCATCTTGATTTTCAAATGTATCGAGGGGGCATGCGTCGGGATTATGCTGTAGGGGAAGGGGGACGAGAAAAATAGAGGGACTGTAATAACAGCAACTCGCTACGCAGCTCGCGTTCAGAGAGTGTGTTGTACCAGCAACACAGGCATTTGATTGGTCATTAGACAATAGATGTTAATTTGCATTGACAATGGGTTTAGTTTAAGTTGCCAACACTGACAAGTTGTTGACAAGTTGTTGTTTCTATAAAACGTACGCTTCATAAGTACCAAGTAAGTACCAACACATAAGTACCAACACATGAAGGATTCTTGGTATTCTGAGAATGAATCATGTAAGCCAACATGCTTTTGAAGCAGCCCAGCCAGGGAATGTTGTAACACAGTTTCTGCCAAACGAACTGAAATTTAACACTACACTGGTTATCAAGAGGTTAATCGTTTTAATCTGTGGTGAAGCAAGCATGCTTAGCTCTTCGATTAGGAAAATGTTTCACCTGTGCATGTTTGTTGATTTTATTTGGAGGCATGGCCCAGAAACTGTATAAAATCACTGCTTCGAAAGGAGATATTTGTAAACACATGTAATAGATGCTAAAAGTGTCTGGCATGTTTTTTATCACCAGCAGAGTTTCTTAATTAATGAATGGTAAAAGGTGTAAAATCCCTGTCACGCCTCCTGAATGCGAGCTGCTGTGATGTTATTACGGTCCCTCTATTTTTCTCACTTCCTCCCAAACCGCCCCGCCCCCGCCCCCTAAGTAGTTTTGACGCTCATGCAAGATAGCAGCCCGTAACGCAAAGCGCTCGATTTCAACGATCTTACAGAAAAATAGAGGACTGTGAACAGTCTAAGGAATTTTCTACAAACTTATTTTCCAAAGCTGTTACATTATGCTAATGAGGTTAAAGCTAATTAATTAGCATAATGAAATTCAACACCTCGTTCACCTTCAAAAGACACTTCATTTTTTAGTTTCTAACAAAATATCGGGCTAAAAACTAGCACACATGAATTTACTGATAGAATTCATCAAAATAAACAAGGCTTTGAAGGCAAAAAGCTAAGCGGAAAGGAATTCCTGGCGTTTGAAGAGTATCAGAGAGTATGTGTGGAAGACATGGCCGGCTCGGCGAATTGCACGCAAACATCTCTATACTGTTTTCTTACCTCGATTTTTACTTCTTATCCTCCAAATCCTTCAAAATAATTTGCTTCACTTGTATTTGGTCAAAATTCGTCGATACAAGCTTTCATTCTTTGCAAAACCCGCAACAAACTCCTTGCCGCATTTCTCAGATAGCGTGAAGCTAATAACCCACCGGGGACTGGGACTAGCCAAATCTATTTGTGCGCCAAATTTGGAGACAACAGGAAGTAACGCAAAGTTTGGCGAATATATTTCGTTGTCGGTCCTGAAGCTCCTATATTTACACGACCGGGAGACAATTTATGAGACTCAATATGATTTGTAAGGCAGCGAAGAAAGAATAATTACATCACTGCAAACCGCATCATGTCCAGATAGATGTTACTAATGATATCATACATCGAATGATATCATTGGTTCGTGTGCATGCACTAGCCAAAATAGGCTTACACTTTCGTTCCTACTTTATAATTATCAAATCTAACTTTGATTCTGCTTTACAATTCTACATGACTTGGATCGATACATGTATTTACGGTGGCCCACAACGGCAATACACAAATATATATCATATTACTGCCTTCTATATCTTAGTACACAAACATATTCATTGGCTGTGCGAGTATATTTACCAGTACAATAAAATATACACCAGTACAACAATATGCATCCCAGTAAAGAAATATAAATTTTCAGTACAAAAATAATAGTTTCGGTACAGAAAAATATTTTTTAAAAACTTTGGAAAAAATCGGTAGGTACTTTATATATGATTATTACTATGTACCTAAATATATATATGTATAACACCATAGACCCCTATACATCACCATACATCCATGTTAGCACCCATGTATAATACCATGCACCTCTATACATCACCATATACCTCTTTTCATCACCATACACCTCTATATATCACCATACACCCATGTATAAAACCATGAACCCCTATACATCACCATATACCTCTATACAACATCTTACACCCCCATTCATAACCATACACTCGTATACAATGGTCATGTGTAGAGGTCTATGGTTATGTATAGGGGTGTAAGGTGATGTATAGAGGTATATGGTGATGTATAGAGGTGCATGGTATTATACATGGGTGTTTGGTGAGGTATAGAGGTGCATGGTGTTATACATGGATGTATGATGATGTATAGGGGTGTGTGGTGATGTATAGAGGTATATGGTGAAGTATATACCTGCCAACTTTTTCTGAGATATAAGCGTGAGATTTTTATCCTGGGAGTGCTGGGATTTTTGAAGACGACACAATCATTTTCGAAGATTCCCGAAGAAGTCCGAAGTCTTCCGAAGATGTCCAAAGTCTTCTGAAGACGTCCGAAGTCTGCCGAAGGCGAAGTTATCGAGAAAACACTTATCCACAAAATCAGAGATCGCGAGGAAGGTATTATGATTTATTCATTTTACACATGGTTTTCGTTCCTTATATGGGTCTGAGTTAACACATTTTTGGAAATTGTGTCAAGCAAGACGGCAACAACTCACATTTTTCAATCAGGCGTGAGAAATTGGCCCGCAAGCGTGAGCCGGCGTGAGATCGAAGTTTTCAACCTGCAGGCGTGAGACTCACGCCTAAGGCGTGAGAGTTGGCAGGTATAGAAGTATAGAGGTGTATGTTGTTATAAATGGGTGTATGTTTAGTGGTATTTGGTGAGGTGTAGCGGTGCACGGTGTTGGATGGTGATGCATGAGATTGTATAGAGGTGAATGGTTGTGTTTAGTCGAGATAATCTATAACAATGAAATATATAAGGTTTGTTTAGGTACACTATAATAAGCATATGTTTAGGTACATGGTAATAATCATATATGAAGTACCTGCCGATTTCTCCAATTTTTCTTTTGTAATTTTTCTGTACAGAAACTTTTATTTTTGTACTGGGAAAAATATTGTTGTACTGTTGTATACATGAATGAAGAATATAGTCGCACAACCGATGAATGTGTTTGTGCTGGAACTTATGTTTTTTTACTGAGAGACTGATATTTTTTTTCACTGGAGCTGTTATTTGGTGTACTAAGAACTGGAGATATCTTTCCGTACTGGAGTTTATATTTTTGTACTGAAATTAACATTTCTGTACTGGGACACATATTGTTGTACTGGTGTATATTTTATTGTACTGGTAAATATACTCGCACAGCCAATGGATATGTTTGTGTACTAAGATATAGAATGCACTAATATGATATATATATTTGCGTATTGCCATTGTGGGCCACCGTACCTTTTAGACCACAAAAATGGGAACTTTTCATAAGGCCAAAAATCGCAATTTTCCAAAGAGGTTACCGTTAACCCACGATTTTGCTCCAAAAATTCAAAATTTTTCCTTATTACATTTTTCGCAAAAAATAGAGTTTCTTCATGTTCTAAATTAAAAAGAACTCTTTTTAGACCACAAAAATGGGAACTCTTCATAATGCCAAAAATCGCAATTTAACAAAGGGGTTAAGCTTAAAAATAGAGTTTCTTGCTGTTCTAAATAAAAAAGAAGCCTTTTTTGACGGACCAAAGGGGTTCAGACCCTACCCCCCGTAAATGCTTTGCGGGGACGAAAACATGTTTTTCTTACACGAAGTACATAGTAGGGTTTACCAACATGGCGGCCTCGAAGCTCGAAATCAATTTCCGCCGTCTTTTGGAACGCTGCGAAGCGATGGCCTCAGAAATCCAGGAGAATAAAGAAAACGTAAGCTGGAGGTTGGAAAAAGTGAGTTGTAGCATTCATCAAAAAATTGTTTTCTACTGTTTCCTCTCTAGGATTTGAACAAAGCTATCTGGTCGGGTTTGTAACAATTTTTTCACAGTTTTTATACTCCATATTGCAGTATGTTTTAACGTTACAGAGGCAAGCTACCGAACTGAAAAAGTCAGAAAGGTTAGTTTTTAAATGCAGAGAAATAAGACAAAGGTTAAACGAGCAATGCGTTAATGTAAAATACTGCTTTTCAATAATAAGGTTAAAACAGCTGATACAGGTAGTCTTTACTCTGATGGGTCTTTATGTCGGGTCGATTGTATTTATTATTAATATTTTAGTCATCACAATAGAGCTTTTTTATTAGTACCTGACCCAGTTCAATAAAGGAGAAGAAAGTCTTTTCATATTAAAGTAAAGAGTTCAACGTCTTGGTATACCGACAATGGACATAGCTAGTTCATTGTTTAATTTTGGTACCCCACTATTGCGGACTGAAGTATACCTGTATCGTACAAACGCGCTATAATGACAAATCTAATTAATTGATATCAACTAATCTGGCAATAGAAACCAGACCCATATGCACATTTCTCCTGTTACTGCATGTGTGTAGTAACTGTTAAACTTTTATCAAATAAAAGTGAACGTCTCTTTTACAGTGCAGTAAGTAAGCTCATCCATAACCTGGATTAGACAGGACTCCAGCCTTGAACATAACTTTTCTTGATCCTGTCGGCTTCTGTTTGGCGTAAAAACAAGGTGGGGGCCCGCACCCCTCGGCACCTTCCCCTAGATCCTAGATCCTGTCTATCAGTAGCGTAAAGGTAGACATCTCCCTTTGGTAGATTGCAGCGGTTGGCTGGCCTGAGCTAAATTTAAGTTGTCTAGCAGTATACAACATTCTGAAAGGCAGATGACTTGTGTCTCTAACGTACTGTAGGCATCAGTGGTCAGGGATGTAGATAATAGCTGGGGGCCGGGAAAAATACCTGGTTGTCAACATAATTTTTCCAGCTGAAAAAAATGCAGTCTTTAAAAAGGGAACTGTTTTCTTCTCATGTTATCTGCCAATCAAATGCCATTTCCCATCGGTTATAAATTTAAGCTACATCCCTGGGCCCAGTTGTTTGAAAGGAGGTTAGTGCTAACCTGGGGTTAAATTTTAAGCGGGGTTTCATTTTCTTTTAATGAAAAGCACTCACTCGGATAATTTTCTCTATTCTTTTTAGAGTATCCAATCATCAAGTTGTAGGCAAAGTGAATTAAATTGAATTTGCTTTTTAAGCTCTCATTTCTGAGTTCAAATTTCGCACTAACCCTGGGTTATCTTAACCCAGCTTCGAACAACCCGGCCCTGGTGTTTAGCTGATACCAGCTTCCGAGTTTCACTTTTTTGTCACTCTGTAACTAAACTTTCTTCAGTTCAAAGCAAACATTCGCATGGTGAAAAAACCTCTAATGAAGATACTGGTGGTTGTTTAATTTTTTGCATCACCAATAAGTGTAGCTAGTATTTCAGGTCATGCCAGCTCTTATGATTAAAAAAGCATACCTTTTCAAAAACTGAGAAATCAAAATATTTTGGTTCCATCAGCTTGTCGAGTCACATGTAAGATACATTTTTGGAAATAATCAAAACATTAAACATTAATTATTTTTTTGTCTTGTTACAGCAAACCAAGTCCAGACACAATGACTGAATACAGCAAGAAAGTAGAATTCCTTAAAGGTTTAATAGAAACACAGAAAATGGTGAGACAGATCAATGTTTTGAAATCTTAAGATACGCGTCTGTTGTTGCATTCAAATGGGAAAAATTATTGTTTAGGAATAACTAGGAAATGCTTTTCATCAGAGAATATACAAGTACAATAAATTGTATATCATTTGTATGTCAAGTATTTTACCATTAGTTGCATGTAAGTGTGGACATGAGATAAAAAAAACATGTTCTAATAGGGTGCCTGACATGCCGGTATAGCAAACTGTCACACCAAAGGTAATTTGTTTATATGTTCTTGATTGGCGTGGTCTGCTCATATTCCATTTACGTTTACAGGTGACTTTCCGTATATTGTCTTCTGTTTTATTTACATGAGTAATACTTACATGCATATGCACGTAAAAATTATGGGACAGTGGAAATCCACCATCAGTCATAAGGGGAAAATCCAGGCACCCTTCAATTTCTACTGGCTCTGAAAATACCTTGATAATTTAGGTTTGTTAGAAGCTCTCACATTCTCTTTTCCAAGGGTTTGTTCCCTTTAATTTTCTATTGCAGTTATTGTATATCCATGTAAAAGAAGACTTACCTTCACTTTGTTTTGTAGAAATCACCAACAGAAAAACTTCTCGCCAGTCGGCAGTTAGTGCGTCCACTGAGTCAAACATCCAATGCACAGACCACAGAGGCAGACAAAGGACAAACAGTAAACAGAGCACAAGAACTTCACATCAGAGCAAAGTCACAGATTAATAAAGAGATGAGAAGTGAACTTCTGGGAGAAGGTGAGAATAATGCAGCTAACAATATTTCACTTCTGATACAATGCACTTGTAAGTTGGTTTATTTGATATTTATTTTCGTTGATTTTTGTAAGGATCATGAACATTACTGGCTTACATTCCTCGACACATTACAAGGGTTTTCTTAGCCCAATATTTTCATAAAACCAAGGACTTTCAGGGCACCTTATCATGGCACATTCATTTTGCCTTGTTTTTGGTCATTTTGTGACATGAAATACTTTGGTTTTTTTAAGTAAATTGAATAATAAATTTAATTAATTTATTAGTGTTAAGAGTTAACAAGGAACCTTGCTTATTTTCCAGACAATAAGAAAGACAATCATGGACCGCGAAACAGGTGACTGATTATATAATATTATTTCACTTGCATATTACTAGTTTGGTCCCTTAGTCGCTGTAACAAATAACTCTTTATTTTCAAATCCCTCATAATCACTCTGTTTGCTCCCAATGCAACACTTGGCATAAACTATAGTCTTCAAATGCTCCTGGGAGAACTGTGTAGTTCCAAGGGCTTCTGAGAACAAAAACTTTATTTATACGCAAAGCCTCAATCGGTGATAAAATTGTTGAAACATTGTACTCAAATAGGGTAACTTCAGAGAACAAAAGAATGCGCACCCTTTCCCCCCTACACAATTCAAAGTTGGGGTGTTTGTTGTTTTCTGTATGTAGCTTGAACAGCAGCACAACATTGCATGGAGCGGATGGGGGAGGAAAAGCTTTATTTTCACCTTTTGAAGTCAGTAAAACCTCAGAAAGCCCCTTTACGGCAAAGTGTCTCAACTAATTTTGTCACCAATTGTAGGGAGGCAAACAGGGTGTATTATGTGGAAACTCCAAAAAATAAAAGTCAGTGGAAACAAATCCCTGATAGCAAGTCAGTATGACTTTTTAAGTATGCACAGCTGGTGTCAACTTAATATTTTCTGCATCATGAATTGTTGGTTAGTGATGAACAATCTGCCTTTTATAGCCTGTGTTCCAGCTCCTTCCCACACATTGTCTAAACCCTCAGAGTGTGTTCCATTTGAATGATCCAAATAAGGATCAGTGACCTGTGATCACTCAGAATATAGCACATCAAAGGACCCAATGAATCAACCCTGGGAAAGGATTCATCAGTTCACTTGACGTACCACGGCATGGTTTCAAATTGAGAGGGCCTGGATATGAGTCAGTTTATCATGGGCTAAACAACACAAGACCTATATCGTCAGAAAGAGAGAAATAGCAACATTCTCCAGTTTGGTGTTTACCGGACCTATATTGAACGATATAAATAGATGTAAGGTCAATGTGTACATCTCCTATAAAAGTAATTTTTAAGTTTACAAATAGCTGTATCTTGTTTGATATTGGCGCGATCGACACCAAACTTCACATATTTCATAACCTCAATGTGCTTTTTCTGACCACCTGGATCTCGTGTTGTTTATCCCGTAATAAACCAACTCGTACCCAGCCCCTCTTGATTTGAAACTAGGCAATGGCTGAGTGATCTCTGACCTGGATCATCCCAAAGGAACTCACTCTTAGTCTATACATGCTGTACATGTAGTGTCTGCCATGCAGGCTACTTGTTTTTGACAATCTTTTTTCTTGAAGATTAACAGGCAACAAGAAAAGTGATGCAAATGATGAAAGCATTGACTCAGTTCTACAATACCATCAGAACTTACAAGAAAATATAGCAGAGGAAATGATAAAAATGGCTCAGCATATAAAACATACATCTGTCATGGCCAGCAACATTATTAAAGAAGATAACAAGGTTACTAGGATGTTTGTCCTTTAATAACAGTAAATAAAAAATTATTGGATGAGGTCTTTTCCTGACATCTGAAACAGACTAGGTCAAGTAAATATTATATGCTGAAGCTGATAATTCTTACTGAGAATTTGAGTATTGCGAATACCGTATTTCTTTGAATAATAGTTGTCCCTGAATTGATCGCCTCCCTTGAATAATTGCCCCCCTTTGATGGAAATGTTTAAAATAATCGCCTTGCCCACCTCTATAGGTTACCCACTAGGGATAACCATTGTGGAACGTGGAGGATGAAGCTAAAGTAGCCTGCGTAGCAAGCGTTTCCGTTTGGTTTCCGAGGAAGGGGACTTTCGGTTTTGACCGAGCAAGAAATGAAACGAGAGCCAAAAAGTGAAAGAGGGGGGAGGGGGAGGGGAAGGAAGGAAACCTTCCTTTCTTCCCCACCCCCTCCCCGCTCTTTTACCTGCCCCACTTTTCTCGTGGTCTTTGACTCTCGTTCCTCGTTCTTTTCTCCTAAACCGTACAGAAACGCTTGCTACGCAGGCTGAAGCTAAAGTGGAGTCTGATTCAGCAAAACTGATCAGTGATGATTCAAGCTCTGATGCCACAGAAATGGACAGCAAAAATTAATAAATGAACCAAATTTGGAACACTTTAAATGCCAATGTTCTTTTATCTGATGTGAGTTATTTTTTTATTTAATGGAAAAACAGAACAAATATCTAGTCAGTAATATTTGAAATTGTCACCTCCCTCAAATAATCGCCCCCTTTTGGTGCAAAAAAAGAAATAATCGCCCCCAGCTATTATTCGAGGAAATACGGTATCCCAAAAACCAGATCCAATAAGAATTGTTTTATTACACACAGTTGTGAGGAGCGAAGATAGTGTTATGGTAAACACATTGTCCTTGAATAGCAAGCTTTGTGCACAGAATTTGAAGGCTGTCATAAATATGATCAGCTACCAAGGTGACCCCTGGCCTACAGTTATCAATTTAATAGAGTAAAAATAGAACCAAAAGAAATCTGTACCTGTTATATTCCCTGCTTACTTGTTTCCTGCAACTTGAAATCTTAGTGACAGCCATGTAAATTTGTATCACTAAGTTTCTTTACTATTGTAGAGATGAATTACCCAAATTTTGCACAAAACCACTGCCAAGAATGCAAAAAGTCCACTTTTGGTTGATGTGCATTATTCAAAACAAAGGTTGTTAATGTGGACTTAAGTAAAGTCTCTAAAACAGCTCATATAAAGGATAATGCCTGAGCCCTAAGACCTTGTTAAAAATAATGACTGAGCGCCTGAGGTCATTATTTTTAACAAGGCCTTGGGCCAAGGGGTATTATTTAACGTACTTTTCCACTGTTTTAGAAACAGCAAGTCATAATTAGGATCTCTTGTTCCACCCCAGTGACCTGTGGTTAAATTTATTGAAAATTAATAGTAACTAATGTTCAAAACAATAGAAAGGTGCATTAATAACAAGGAAGGCATATTTACAAATTGGTCATTTGACGAAGCTCCATGTACAGACAACAGAGTGCGAGATAAACTTTAAAAAACTTACAGTTAAATTTTCTCTTTTGGTTTTTAGACGTTGGAGCAGTCAACAAAACTTGCAGATTCAAATTTTGAGAAACTAAAACGAGAATCAGAAAGACTTGAGGAATTAACACAGACACCATGTTCCTGGTGGATCTGGATTATGATAATTACAGTCTGTATTGTGTTTATGTGGATGATTATATTTATTAGACTTTTCCCAAAGAAGTGATATAGTGATAACTTTAAAGCAGAACTCTTCAAACAAAAAAGGTTCCAAGAACGTACAAAGATTACAATAATTTTCAATAAAAGAATATTATTATGAAGAAGACTGTTTCAGCTTACTGTGTTTAATTTATCAAGAACTGAAATTCTTCTGGGCCCAGATATTTTTAAGGTGGATAATGCTATCCATTGGTTAAATCTTTTGTTACCAGATAGCTCAATTGGTTTTCCCAATGCTTAACTGCTGGACAGTGATTTATCTGTTGGATAGCACTTTCCAACATATTTTGAACAACCAGGGATAGGGAACCACTTAATCTAAGTGTCGATGCATTTAGCATGAAAGTACTAACAGAGGACACTATTTTTATATCTCCCTCTGGAGACAAGACTACACTGCCATTTTACGTGGTCATCTGAGCCACACAAAGGTCTAGCCATTTGAAGGGCAAAGGTGGTTCCTTCAATTCTCAGTTATTTTTAATCCCTGGGTATTAGTCAGTGACAGTGGACCTGGGAATCAAACCCTGCAATCAAGCGCTCTAGCAACCAAGGGCACTTTCAAAAAGTCAGAACTGGCCGGCTGGACCATGATCAGACCAGTCAGTTTGAAAATGAAATCAGCTTTTTCAAAGAGTTTTTGCTAAAAAACCATCTCCTTGATGCAATATACTACATGTATTTAGGATTTGACTCATGATCTACTATATTTCTGCTGCCTTCACAGTGTTATTCACTCAGGTAAATGCACGTCAATAAATTTTACAATTTATTTACACTGTAACTATATCTTGTCCACTGAAAGTATTAAATAAAGTACCCAGCCAATTCACATTACAGTTTCAAAAAGAGAATGCAACTTGCAAGTCTCATTTCTAATTTTAACACGTGTCCTTATTTGCTATGGAACTGAAGTTAGGAAAAGAATTTACTTGTAGACTACAAATCATAGCTTTGTGCCAAACAAATATAGACGTCTCCCAAGCAACAACAATTTACAACAAAAATAAACTTTATGGTTGCTTGTCTTCTCCCCTCGCATTACCTTTTCATTTCCTACCTGATCTGAGCATGCACTCGTGTGCTACACTCGCTCTATGTTTTCCTGAGGTGAAGTCAGTACATATATAGTAATATTATTGCAATTAACAATATTCTTAGCCTGAATTTCATCCGATTACTTTGAGTCGTTATTACTCCCTCAGTAACTAAGGGAGTAATAATGACTCGAAGTAATCGGATGAAATTTAGTCTACAATATTCTAAGGGTTGCTAAATATTGAATTCTCTTAAGGGAGTTGTATCTCTATGTACAGAAACGGAATTAGATAAAGTTGCAGTGTAATAACATCATTCAAGATAAGCTGTTAAACTTGCATGATGTTCACCTGAAAAACAAGGGTCTCATGTGTAAATACTAAAGTTAAATCACACAAAAATAGATCCTACAAAAGATTAACCACAAATTTCACTTGGCTTCCAAAGTGAAAAATATACAACAAATAAATGCATACGTTTTGGCTTGCCAAGAAAAGAACAAGTCAAATGAGTATTAGGCTAGCTAAAAAGTATTCCCTTATTCATTTAGGCTATGTTCACACTGTACTTGATAGGTCTTGGCGCTGACATGAAAAACCACATGTTCACACATAACAATGGGTGATTTCGGCTCGATTTTTGTAACCGAACAATGCTGCACTGCGCCAATCTTGAATGTGGATTACAACCTCATTCCCAGGGTAGGAGAGAACCCTGGGAACAAGGTTGTGTGGATCGGCGTATATTGGATACATTTCTGTCCCTCTTCATCGCAATGTGAAGAGGTATCCAAACCGTAGCGGAAGTAAATGAGTAGGAGCGACGACCGGAAGCCTACTGAGACAAAAGTGAAGATGGTATTTAGTGCACCAAAATTCCAGTTCTGTGCAGTTGCTGTTCACATCATACCAGATAACTTTTCAAGTTGGCACAAAATGGTATCCAGTATGTAGTGCCTTAGGGCCTGTTTACATGGATGTAGACCCCAGGTAGATGAGGTAACATTTGGCGGGTTACCCCATCTATCAAGAAAACGTGATCAAATTAAAATGAGAGATTATATGGACAGGCGGGTTACCCCACTAAAGTGGGTTAAATCATCTACCTGGGGTCCCCCATCTCCAAGTAAACAATGGTCCTTAGGACAAACCTCAAGTGTACTTGATAAAATAGGTTGTTTCCCTAACAAATTATCAGCTGGATATCGCGGAATTAACCAGTAGATAGTAGAAAGCACTATGCATTTCCTGTCAATTGGGCCTGTGAAGTGGGAGACGAACTGAAAAAAACTTTCTTGACAATGTCTATGAATACAGCACCGAGAGACAAGAACGCAAAATGTTTGCGCTAGAATTCCTCGGATTAATTGGGCATTATACTGATGAACAGTTAGGACTGTTAGATATATTCAGCACCAGCAACTAGCCGTCTGTCCCTTCCACTCCTTTTCTTTTTAAGCCACACTTTTACTTTGTCTCCACACGTATAAATTACTCTAATTACCTCTACAAGTCTGCTTTTCATGCGACACCTGGCTACAATGTCATGACGCTTTTGAACCTTATTTTACTCTCCATAGAAAGTTACAGAGAGTTCAAATGTGGATAATGATCGGTATTTTAACCGAACTTTGCTTAAGTCATATATACGACTTTTGCTTGAAGCGCAACGGTTGTTGACTTGCAATCTCACTGTTCTCAGGGAGGAGCAGTTCATCATTAAATAGTCACAAATGCTTGGTAACCAGTCTTCCCTTACTTCACTGCGGATGTTGACTGTTAGATTGACATCAGTTAATGATGTGTTTTCTGGACAATCACAAGGTGTTGATAGAGATCGCCAGTCATTATGCTGTTCACCTTTACTGATGTCATTTACTGTCAGCATGAGTGTACTTAATGTCTTGTTTTCTGCTAAACATTCTTTCAGAGGGCCTAACCACGATACGCAGCTGAAGTATTCGTAACCACTGACTGTAACAGTAAGGGACGCTATTGAATTGTTCACTGAGAGTCCTTTAATTAATATCTCTTCCCAGTCAAAATAACTACAGGTGATGTGGTTAAGGATAATGACTAGTTCCTTTAAAGATGAGGTACTTGCCAGTCCAAAACGGAGACCTTTTACCAAAGTCACAGGCATTTCTTTTGAATCGTCAGAAGGGTGATAATAGAACGTGGCACTGTTATTTTTCTCCTTATAGTTGTTGCTTGTAAGGCTGAGTTTTGTTAGTGAAGTGCTTTCTTCCAAACATTTTCTCAGAAATTCACCCCAAAAATAAGTTAACTCACTACCGTTGATTACGATGGAAAGTGTAGACAAGGACTTCACTGCCATCAAATCTTCTTCAAATTTCCCCACCTTGCCACGATCGTCAATTGAGAGACTAAGTGTAGTTAATGACTCCATTTTCGCCAACCTGTTGATCAGCATGCATTCCCAACCTTCTGCAATGTTACTGTAGTTGCTGATTGTGAGACTTAAAAATGTTAATGAAGAACTTCGCAGCAAACTATCCCCGAGGTCTTTCCATATTCCTGGATTCATTGTGTAGTTGCTCACTGTAAGATCCAGCATGGTAAGTGATGTGTTTTCTGCCAAAGCATCACCTAGCAGACGTGGCCAGTCACTAATTACTTCATTGTCGTTAATTATTCTAAGATTGATCCTCTCCTTTCTGGTATTCTTAACTTCAGAGAACATTGGTGTCAGTGATGCAGGATTGTTAATAGAGACATCAAGAACATTGCACATTTCGTTAGGAACAACACTAATGCCATCCACTGTCACTTGAACGATTTCATTATTACGTGATAGTTCCTGAAGTAAAATTCCTGTTGCTGAGGCCAACTCTCCCCAAATATCGATTGTTAGAGAGGACAATGTATTTTGTCGTCCGATATATCTTTTAATAATACTAGCAACACCATCACTTAAATTTCCATGTACTTTCAAAGTCAGGCTTGTCAGGGGGACACGCACCAAGAACTCACATAAAGCTTCTGCTCCATCACATTTCAGCTCTCCCCAAATGACCACAGTTAAGTATTGTTTTGTTTCCAACCCTTTCTCTACCACAGCAGGACAAAAATGAGCCACTTGATCACATGTAACACTGCTGCCTGGGTCTGGATGAAAAGTACAGCTAACTGACCCCTTCTTTACTGAACGAAGATTTTCCACAACACACTGCCAGTTGTCAGGAATCTCTCCACAGAGAGTCAGTACTAAATCACTTAAAGAACTATTTTCTAGAAGACTGTTTTGAAGAGCAGTCACACTAGAGAGACTAAGGTTGCCGTCAACACTAAACGCCAATGCCTTGAGTGTAGTTTTTTTTTTTTTTTTTTTTTTTTTTTTTTTTCAAGACATTTATTACTATAATTACAAAGAACTACTTAAAAAGAAAATAATTACAAAGTTCTAAACAACCGCAATAACAGACATACTTACAATTATCTACATTTCACAATTATATACATAACAGCCACAAAACAGCCGCGCAATTGCCGAATGAGGCTTATTTTACAAAGAATTAATTAATACTTAATTATGTAGATAAAAGAGAGATTAACACTTAATGTTTACAGTACGCTCTGAAATAAAAACAAAAACATAACCACACATACAAAAATAAAAAAACAAAAAAAAAAAAAAAAAAAGTGTCTAATAAAAGATTACATTTTTAATTACAAACTCACGAACTTAATTAAAGGGGAGAAATGTCTTTTGGCCATTTTTCATAAAAGGTTTCTAATTTATTATTCTTAGTGGAAATATATTTTTCAACTTGGTATTTAATTCTTACTTTAAATTTGAAACCTTCGATGTTTGGAAGTACCTGTTTCTTTCTGCAATCCCATAAATACAATTTACCAATTAATATCAGATAATTTAACAAGGGGCATTTTGACATCGTTATTCCAATTATAACCTCTCGTAAACACAACCCGTGAAATTCCTTTGTTATTGTTAAATAATACTGTTCAACATTTTTCCACAACATATTTGAGTGCTGACAGTAAAATAGAAAGTGACATAATGTTTCCTGTTCAGTCTTGCAAAAAGTACATTTGTCATGCTGGAGATATCCAATTTTAAAAAGTTTTGCATTAGTGTAAAGTATTGAATTTAAAACTTTATATTGAAAGGATTTGACGTAAGGCTCCTGTGTTGTCAGGTGGGGAAGGTTGTAAGCAATTTTTAAGTCTTCGTCAGATAAGCCAAAATCATGTTTTAAATTCTTTGCATTACTAGGTAATTGTGCTTTATTTGATATTATTAAAGAGTAGTAGTCTTTCGTTTTCTTTTCCGCTATGTCAAAAATCTCATTCCCCTTTGTAAAATAAGTATTTTCTGTAAAGGTAGTATACTCTATTGTTTTCAGAATAGAAGGAATTGCATGCCTGAGACCTGTCCATGTAAGAAAATTAGCTTTCTCAATTATGTTATTGATTGCATTAAAGGATTCTATATTGTCGAGATTGAACAAGAGATCTTTAATAATACATATCCCCGAGTCATAATAAGATTTATAAAAGACTGGTTTTCCATCTATTCTTATATCTTTGTTATTCCAAATTATACAGAGCCGTTCTTTGTTAGCTAAAAAGAGATTTCGAAATTCTAACCAATATTCTAAGAGTTCTTTGTAGAAAACCGAGATGATTGAAAGATCGTTCATTGCATAATTGCATTTAAAAAGTAAAAGACCACCAACACTACGTAGGAGATGAAACAAGTAAAATTTCCACGTACTTTCATTATCGCTGAAAACACGTTTTAGCCAAGCTAGTCGTACAGCTTTGACCAAGCTTTCAATATCTGTCATTTTTATGCCACCGTCTTCATAACTGTTTATTGAAGAGAGCCTCGTTACTTTATCCTTTCCATTCCATAAAAAGGAGAAAATTATACTATTCACTTGTTTGATGATTTTACTTGGAGGTGAAAGAACCGAAGATATAAAAACTAGTTTTGGAATAAGTAATGATTTGATTATAGTTACTTTACCATAAATGGACAGTCCTCTAGATGACCATATATTTGTCAGCTTCTTTATGCTGTCAACTTTCTCTTGAAAGTTTTTTTCGTAAAGTAATGATTGGTCATATGTAAAAAAGGTTCCTAAAGCTTTTATGGGTTCACTGGGCCATTTAATACCAAACGGTTTTTCATCTTTTCTTTTAAGCGAACCAATCCACATTCCTTCTGTTTTAGAGCTATTTATCTCCAACCCACTGAAGTTCTTAAATACTTCTAGTTCTTGAAATAACGTTTTTGCAGAACTTTCATCAGACAGGATTGCTGTGGTATCGTCTGCGTATTGCAATAGCTTGGCTTCGTAATTTTCGATTTTAATTCCTTTGATATCAGCATTTTGACGAATGGAGATTGCCAAGCTTTCAACAGCTAAGATAAAGAGGTAAGGGGACAAAGGATCACCCTGCCTCACACCACGTTCTAAAGTAAAATAGTCTGATGCCATTCCATTATTTATTACACAGCTTTGAATATTTGTATAAAACATTTTGACCCAATTTATAAAATTGGGGCCAAAATTAAAAGCCTCAAGGCAACTGAGAAGATAATGCCATTCTAAAGAGTCGAAAGCCTTTTAAAGTCAATGAAAATCAAGATACCTGGAATATTCTTACTGTCTGTAAATTCCATTACATCGAAAATTGATCGGATAGTCTCACCAATATAGCGATCTTCAACATAACCTGTTTGATTATGATGTATGATATTCGGTAGAACTTTCTTTAATCTTAACGCAATCACTTTTGAGATGATTTTTGCATCCACGTTAATAAGAGAGATTGGCCTCCAATTTTCAATGAGAGTTCGATCTTTATGTTGCTTTTCTATCAGAGTTATGATTGCTTTTCTTTGAGAGCTTGACATTTCACCGTGGTCGAAACACTCTCTCACACACTCCATAAAAGGATCACTAATTAATTCCCAGCAACTTTTGTAAAATTCTATTGGTATTCCATCATTACCAGGAGATTTGTTATTCTCAAAACTGTTAAGGATGGCTGTAATTTCTTCAACAAATATTTCTCCCTCACAAGATTGTTTTTGTTCTTCTGATAATCTTGGTATATTCAAATTATTTAAAAATTCGTTTCCATTTTCCCTATCCTCATCTGTTACGTTTGATTTGTACAAGCTATGGTAAAAGCGTTTTTGTTCGTTCAGTATCCCAAAAGGATCAGATGTAATTGAACCACTTATTAGCAGTTTTCTTATATGTTTTTTGACGTGATTTCGCTTTTCTAAATTTAGAAAATATTTTGTACTTCTCTCACCATGCTCGTGCCATCGTGCCCTTGCGCGAATAATTACACCCCTTGTTTTTTCCTCATAGTAACTTTCTAGAATTTCTTTTGCTTCATTTAGAGTATTTAGGTTAGAGTCGGAAGGGTCCTGTTCGAATTTTTTAGTCGCTTCCTCGTATACTTGTTGTAAGTTTTTTTCCATAGCAGATCGTTCTTTGGCTCTCTTTTTCGAGAACAAAATAGCATGCTTCCGAATATTATACTTAAGCCAATCCCAGATGTACCTTTTGTCTGATAAATTATCACTTCCTGTTGTTTTCCAAAGTGGAATATTTTGTTTTAATTCTTCCAGATAATTCGGATCTTCGAGAAGAGAGACGTTCATTTTCCAGAAGCCGGGCCCCTTTGAGTTTTGATTGGAGTCGGTTAGATTCAACTCAATTGCTGCATGATCAGTTTTTATAGCTGGAATGATATCGGTTGTATTTACAAAATCCTGTAAGTTGTTCGATATCAGCCAGTAATCTAAACGACAGAAAATTGGTGGAGATTTTTGGCTCCAAGTGTAACTTCTAGATTGCGGATTTTTAATTCTCCAGACGTCGACAAGGTCCAATTCATTTTGTAAACATTTAATATTATCAATAACCATTTTTCTAGGAACCATAACGCCACCTTTCTTATCCAGCTTAGGGTCAAGAGGACAGTTAAAATCCCCTCCAATGATTATATTTTCTTCACAATCTAAGTCTTTTGTCTGTAGCACTCTATGTAGGTTTTTATAAAATTTGCCGCTGACTTTATCTTTGTTTGGCGCATAAATATTAACTAAAATGTACACCTTATCCTGAATGCCTGCCTTCAAAATAATAAATCTTCCCTGGGGATCAACAATGGATTTTTGGATTACACAATTAAAATTATTCCTAATCAATATCGCAACCCCACATGAATTTGGACTACCATGTGAGAAAAATGCTTTACCACCCCATTCATTTGCCCATTGTTTTTCTGAATCCTCTTTTGAATGCGTTTCTTGCAGGAATATTACGTCAGCTTTTCTTTTTCGGCACCAGGTGAACATAGTTCTTCTTTTATGAAAATTACTTATGCCCCTTACGTTCAAAGAAACTAATTTAAATAAATCTGCCGTTTCAGTTGTGTTTTATAAAAATGCATATATTGTTTGGGATTAGTACTTTCCGATGTTTAACGAAGCATTCAAAATGAGTGAAACAAAAGACATTTTCTCCTCCAACTAAGAAAATAATAAAACAAAACAGAACACATAGTACATTTACATATAAACTGATATTAAACAAAATTCTTAACATCTAGTGGACGTAGATTCACTGTTCAGTTTGAAACCGATCATGGAATTAATACATTAATAATTTTTTGCCATTTTACAATAATAGGGAAGGTCTTTAGTTTCTTTTCCTCTGTATATTTGGCCATTGATTATCAATTTATCAAAGTTAAAGAAGGCTTTTTGCTTATCCTGCTTGGCCTTTTTAAGCACTGGATAAAGTTTTCTATGAATTTCTTCAATTTCTTTCGGGAAATCATCTGAGAAACCGATGTTGGTTCCTTTTAAGTTCTTATAGAAGGAGCGAACATATTCTTTGTCCTGATAATGACTGAAACGAGCAATAATTGGTTTGGGATAGGACGGAGCTCTTAGACTAGAATTATTAGTGGAGATTCGGTGAACTCGCTCAAAGCGGATATCGTTGACTTTATCCGCCGGAATTTTCAAATTAGCGACGAAGACACTTCTTACCAGCTCTTCAGTATTTTCATCCTCTTCTTCCCCGACATTGAAAATTCTTACATTCTCACGTCTTGTATAGGCTTCCAACTTGATGTTTCTGCGTCTTAGCGCTCCAATGTCCTCGAACAAGAAGTCAATGTCTTCATTGTTTTCTTTTACTTGTGCAGAAGTTTCTTTCTGACTTTCTTGTAGACTTTCAATTTCTTCCTCGGCAGATTGCAAAGATTGTTTTAAATTCTTTACTTCATCTCTCAGCTTGCGTATTTCATCTTTTAGTAGTGCAATTTCACCACACGATGTTAAAACTTGATCTAGTTTAGTGTTCATTTCCTCGAGGCGTGCTGACATTACTCCACCGACGCCCACATGTTCATCATCTTCATCCGTTTGCGAGCCATTTTCTCTCAGCCTTTTGCTCGGATTCTTGTCCGCTTTGTCCTTCCCCATTTCTGGTTATATCTATTTGTAGGTTTCCATGACAGGTACGTTATTAAAGCGTTTAGAACAGCATATTCGGTGGAGCTCACAAAACACACGTCCTACTTCCACGAGGTGCACTGCGCAAGTCGCCTTGAGTGTAGTTTGTTAGCAGAGGAATTGCACAACAAACTACACTCAAGGTTTGTTGTGCAATTCCTTGTTATTAGCAGAGGAATTGCACAACAAACCTTGAGTGTAGTTTGTTGTGCAATTCCTCTGCTAATAACAGAAGCTACAAATTCTAGCACATCTCCAGAGATATTAAGGGAAAATGAGGCCAAAGTTTTATTTGATAAGAGCTTTCCTAAACCATAGACCGCAGTATCACTCAATGATCCTCGAACCTGGAGGTCTACAGACTTCAAAGGAGTGTCCGCAGACAAAGCAGGTTCAATAGCACTCGTCCAATTCTCACCCCTCACTCTGTCAAGTTGAAGTGTTACTTTGCTCAAGGCTTTGCGTGCTCCTAACGATTCACCGATAGCAACTGCTGCGTCATAAGGGATACTGTCACTCACTTGTAGAGTAAGAGTCTGAAGCTGCGAGCAGGATTGTATGGACTTTGCAACAGTCTCATAGCTGGAAATGTCTTCATTTGAATCACAAACAGTAAGCTGAACTGGCTTCTGCACATTTACAAAGGTTTCGCAGGCCTCTAAAACGTGATGTATAAGGGCATTCTCGGCACTGCCAAGCTCGATCTTAACATGCGGAGGAAAGGGTATGTAGGAACAAAGTGTCTCTGCCATTTTTTCAGCGTGTCCACTTTCGCTGAAGCTATCTGTAAAGAAAGTTGCCGCTTCCAAGCCTTTAAAATAGTAAAAGTTATAACAGACATCTTCCCTCTCTCGGTCATCCATCTTCCCTACCCCAGACTGTGTGCAGGTGACCCAGTCCCATTCTCCCCGGTTCTTCAGCTCTTCACCAATCTGAGTAAATAGAATGTTTGCATCTCTCCCAAGTATACCAGAAACAAAAAGAAACACTTCTCGATACTTTTTCACTAGTTTATGAAAAGTTAGACGCTCAAACAACCTTAACTGGTTTCCTCGCAACTTGTGAGCAATAAAGACTGCAGCCAGGTACTCTTGGAAGGTCTTGTGAAGAAAAAAGTACTCATGTTGCGGATTTAACCTTTTCAAACTTTCTTCCTTGTAAACTAGGCCAATGTCACGAGCTACCAGTCCTTTGTATCTGATTTCAAGGGCTGCTAATTCACTTGCACGAAACCCGTGACGGTCTTTAAGTAGACAAAGCCAAGCTAGCTCTCCAAGGGCAAGAATGTTCTCTTCAAATTGCTTCTCTAAGGCGCTGTTTTCGTCCGGGGCCACAAGGTTGTGTTTCGCACAATAACGTCTCAAAAGGCACTGGACAACTACTTGGTAAAGTTCAGTTCGGGCAGTTGGTAGTTTTCCTTTGTAGTCTTCATAAACAACACAGAGGAGGATTAAACTTAGCGGGTTATTTCGGAGTGCATTCAATAAATCGTTTTCTTCAATTTCCACTATCAGACTTTCTCCTTTTGAAATATGCTCTGGGCCGATGTTTTGGAAATGCTTCCTGATATACTGAAAGGCATCTTCATCTGTAAATCCTTTGATCTCTAGAAGAAGATCAAATTCGTACTTTTTACGAACTTCAATGCCTGTCTCCTGCCGGGATGTAGCCAGGACATAACAAAATGGTAAAATTTTTCTGTCGAGGAGTTTATGAACCCATGGTCGTGACTTTTCAGGAAGCTCATCCAGACCATCCAGAATAATTAAAACTCTCTCTTGGTTATCAATATCCGTGATGAAGTCAGACAGCTTTGTCCAGGTCTCCTCCTTGATATCTTCTGGCAAAAGCTGTTCTTTGATAGCTTCCATTATATCTCCATTTATGTCTCGACATTTAAGAAGCAGTACAAATTCGAATTTAGGAAAGGAACAATTAGTTGGCATTTCTCCACGTGCCCAGTCATAAGCAAGTTTGAGGCAAAACGTAGTTTTACCAGTTCCTGGACTTCCCTCTGCTAATGTCATTTTGACATCCTCGCTTTCGCCAAGGGCCTGGAAGATGTCGTACATGCCCAACTCTTCATTTTCAACCTGGAAGTCTGCTTTTCTTCTTGAGACAATTTTCAGTCTCGTGTAGACGTTTTTAAGCGGTAATTGCATAGTGTTTAACCAAGAAAGTGGCTTCAACTTTGCCCGTCTCTCATATTCAGCTCTGAGCATTTTCAGAACACCTGAGTTTTCTGTATCTGTAGGGAGCAAAAGG